GAATCCAGCAACATAGCCATTACGCTAACTGCTGGTTCCCTTATTTATTTAATTCTTGAGAGAGAGAGAGATAGCACCCTTGACAGGGTCTTTTTTTAAAGAATCATTTATTTTAATGTTTTTATTCATTTATTTATTTTAATTTGACCAGAGAGAGACACACAGAGAGACAGAGAGAGAGAAAAAGTGAGAATGCAAGCCACCAGGTCCAAGACTCGAACCATGGTTGCCCATGTGGAAGTGTCCAGAGCCTTAACCTCCACCTGCTGGTCCCTTATTTTTAAATTTTCTATATGGCATGTAGACTCATGAGAGAGAGAATGAGAAAGTTAGAAAGCAAGCTGCCAGGCCTGGGACTCAAACTGTGGTTGGCCATGCGGGAGTCCAGTGCCTTAGCCACCACATCACCTGCTGGCCCCAAAGGAAGGATTTAAAAAGGCAATTTTTTAAAAAATAATTATTTATTTATTTATTTATTTATTTATTTATTTATTTCAATTTGACCAGAGAGGGACAGAAATAAAGAGAGAGAGAAAGTGAGAAAGCAAGCCACCAGGTTCGGGACTCGAACCACAGTCGATCATGTGGGAGTCCAGTGTCTTTAACCACCACACCACCTGCTGGCCCCCAAAAAGGCAATTTTAAATCACCCTTGAAAAAAAAAATAAAGCATACCCAAATTATTTTAATAAATATGTTTATATTAAAAGAAAATGTTCAACTAAGTATAAGAGGTCTTTAAAAACTTTACAGAGGGGACCAACAGATGGCATGGTGATTAAGGCACTGAATTCCCACATGGTCGACCATGGTTCAAGTCCTGGACCCAGCAGCATGAGAACGACATAGGCGTGTGTGTGCTCAAAATGTCAAGAGGAGAATAGAGGAGAAGGGATTGAGGCATGGCCATCTCCCCTGGGGGGTGATTTCTCACTTTCCCTCTATTCAGCGAACACATGCTCCCTGTGGCAAAAACCTTTTTTTAAAAAAAAAAGTTGCAGAAATGTGTATTATGAAAAAACTGTGTTGAGGATTTCTATTTTTTTGCCCTAAAATTAATTCATACTTGAATTCTACTTTCCACCAACATTTTGAAGTCTCATATATGAAAAACTTCTTGGCATAAAGGGACAATAACTGTAAAAATTGTTAAAAAGGCTTAACAAAGTTATTAGATGTTAATTACTTCTTCCCCTGCACTCTCAGGGTCTGATGTTACAAAGGGAGATTTGGCCGGTGGTTAAGGAGGTACTAAGGACTCAGTAGCATCCACCAAGGGCCTCTTCTACATGTACAATTCCATATAGTCAGAAAGATTAGAAGAGTATTGAGAGGCCACCATGTGGCCTGGTGGTTACAGCGGCTGGATCCCACATGATCGACTACATGGTTCGAGTCTAGACCCAGTGGCTTGGAAAATATGCCAGGCATGTATGCCCAAAATCTCTGGAAGAGAAGGGATTACAGTGTGATCATCCCCCTGGGGGATGCTTTCTCACTTTCTCTCTCTCCAGTGAATGCACCTAACCTATAGGAAATAAAAATTAAAACCATAAAAGAGGATCAAAGAGGCCATAACTTCTGATTCGGTGTCATTTAATTTAGTGTCTCTGTAACCTTAAAATTATTTCATGTAAAGGAAGTATTGGTTCCTCCTTTGTGGAACACAGATCAAGACCTTGAATATATTCTGTGCATATAACCTGGACTCCTTCTTTGGGAAGTGTCAGTGAAAAGCACTCGTTTGCAGGGACAGTGGGTGAGGTGTAGGAGTTGAAGTATGGACTTCGGCCGATTTCCTGGGGTTCGATTCTGGCTCTGCCATTTACTAGATTACTATCATCATCCCCATTTTACAAATGAGGAAACTGAGGTGCAGGGCAGTTAACTACTCTGACCAAGGCCATACAGCTGATAAGTGGCTGGAGCAGAGTGAAGCAGGGGAGATTGATAGGAGATGAGGTTAAAAAGATACAGGGCTGTTCTAAGGTCTTCTAGGCCAGTATAAGGAATTAAATTCTGATCTTACACATGGACTACAATGAATGAATTTTGTCTTCTCCTTTCACTTCAGGCTTGTGATGTTCCTATTGAGGAGGGGCCAGTCCCCAGAACAGGGGCAAAAGGGCCGATTATGTCCATCTACTTCCGAGACCCTGACAGAAATCTGATTGAAGTGTCTAACTACATCTCCTCGTGATTGAGGATGGCCTTCCTCCATTTTGTTCCATGATGTTACCCTCTCCCTTTCTTCCTGAAAACTCTCATCCAAGCCCAGAGACCTCGAGGACTGAGGACTTGGGCACATCACACAGCCTGCTGGGGGCAGGTTTGGGCCCAAATCTCCACGTCTGGGTATCCTCCCTCCGAGCCACTCCAATAAATGAATGACATCTCAAATTAATATGAACATCCCTTTATTATCATCTTGGTGCTTCGTTTGGTTGTTCATCTAGGGTGTGAGGCCTTTGAGCTGTTTAGAGGTCCATGACTAAAGTATGTAATCTCTGAGGACTAAATCCAGGGTCATTCCCTTGAGATTCAAGGTCCCTGCCAGATTTGTCCTCATCAGTGAACCTATCATTCTTTATTCTTTTCTAACGTCAGGTGCTGCCTGCTATTTCTTCCACCCCACAGGTCTCACTGAACCCTAGGATCTCTATGAGTCCCACTGGACCTTCCACAACCAGCCTAGATGATGCTATTCCCTCCTGAGATACTTCCTGTGGTCTCATTCCCAGGGTATTTAGCACTTTCTACCTTTGGATCTAGAAGGTCCAGGTTCCAGATCTGGACAGAGGTGGGACAAGGTCAAGTTTCCTCCGTTTCTGTCCCCTTCCACCACCACCACACCATTTCCTCATTCAGTCGAGAAAAAAAGTTATATTGAGCACCTACTGTGTGTTAGGCACTGTGCCAGGTGTTGGAGAGACAGTGTTGAATAGAAGAGATAAGTATTATGTCTGTAAAGCTGCCATTCTAGTGGGAGAGAGAGAAAAAAACTAAAATTAAGTAAGTAAAATATTAAGTATGTTAAAGGCTGATAAATACTTGGAGAAAAAGAAAACATGGAAAAGAGAGAATGCAGGTAAAATGGCCAGGGCAGTTTACAATGTTTAATGCAATGGTTCAGGAAAGCCTAACTGAGAAGATATTTGAGCACAGACCTGAGGTGAAGGAGTGAGCCACATAGGTTGCTGGAGAGCATGACAAGCAGAGCAAACAGCCAGTACAAAGGCCCTGAAGCATCAGTGTGCCTGGTGTGTAGGGGAAACAGCTAGGAGGCCTATCAGGGGCAGATTAGGCAGGGCACTGTAGTCCATAGCAAGAGTTTTGGCTTTTACTCTTAAGTGAGGGGGAGCCACAAGTGGGTCATGAGCAGAGGAGGGACTGGATCTGACTTAGGACTTAATGAGCTCCCTCTGACTGCTGCATGGAAAATAGACTATGGGGTAAGTGTGGGAGCAAGAGACCAGGGAGGATGAGGTCACTGCAGTTGTCCAGGAGAGCCATGAAGGTGGTGGGTCTCACGCAACCCTAGGTTCTCTATGATCCCCACTGGACCTTCCACAACCAGCCTAGATGATGCTATTCCCTCCTGAGATACTTCCTGTGGTCTCATTCCCAGGGTATTTAGCACTTTCTACCTTTGGATCTAGAAGGTCCAGGTTCCAGATCTGGACAGAGGTGGGACAAGGTCAAGTTTCCTCCGTTTCTGTCCCCTTCCACCACCACCACACCATTTCCTCATTCAGTCGAGAAAAAAAGTTATATTGAGCACCTACTGTGTGTTAGGCACTGTGCCAGGTGTTGGAGAGACAGTGTTGAATAGAAGAGATAAGTATTATGTCTGTAAAGCTGCCATTCTAGTGGGAGAGAGAGAAAAAAACTAAAATTAAGTAAGTAAAATATTAAGTATGTTAAAGGCTGATAAATACTTGGAGAAAAAGAAAACATGGAAAAGAGAGAATGCAGGTAAAATGGCCAGGGCAGTTTACAATGTTTAATGCAATGGTTCAGGAAAGCCTAACTGAGAAGATATTTGAGCACAGACCTGAGGTGAAGGAGTGAGCCACATAGGTTGCTGGAGAGCATGACAAGCAGAGCAAACAGCCAGTACAAAGGCCCTGAAGCATCAGTGTGCCTGGTGTGTAGGGGAAACAGCTAGGAGGCCTATCAGGGGCAGATTAGGCAGGGCACTGTAGTCCATAGCAAGAGTTTTGGCTTTTACTCTTAAGTGAGGGGGAGCCACAAGTGGGTCATGAGCAGAGGAGGGACTGGATCTGACTTAGGACTTAATGAGCTCCCTCTGACTGCTGCATGGAAAATAGACTATGGGGTAAGTGTGGGAGCAAGAAGAGACCAGGGAGGATGAGGTCACTGCACTTGTCCAGGAGAGCCATGAAGGTGGTGCCCAGGGAGGTGATTTAAAAAGTGGTTCGGGGGCCCAACAGGTGGCATGGTGGTTGAGGCTCTGAATTCCTACAGGACTGATCACGGTTCGAGTCCTGGACCTGGCAGATTGCTTTCTCACTCTCTCTGTCTCTCTGGTCAAATTGAAGAATAATAATGGCAAATAACATTGGATAAATAATTCATTATTAATAAAAAAAAAAAAGTGGTTCAGGGCCAGCCAGTGGCATGGTAGTTAAGGCAGCTGGGTCCCACATGACCAATTGTGCAATTTGAGTCCCAGACCTGGCAGTTTGAAAAGCACACTGAGTGCAGGTATGTCTAAAATTCTGAGAGGAGAGAAAAATAAAGAAGGAATTGTGGTGTGCCCATACTCCGTAGGGGGTGCTTTTCTCACTCTTTCTATTGCTCTCTGGCAAGCACACATGCCTTCTGGAAAAAAAAAAAATTAGGTAAGAAAAAAATAGAAGTAAATACAAGAAGCCAGCAATGTATGAAATGTATTTCATGACCACCAAGTGGGAATTATTCCAGGAATGCACATTTGATTTAACATAGAAAAATAAGTCAGTATAATATACCACATTAATATGATAGAGGACCAACACCATTTGATCTTTTCAGTAGATGCAGAAAAAGTTTTTGAAAAAATTCAGTATCCCTGGGGCTGGCAGGTGGCGTGGTGGTTAAGGACACTGGACTCCCACATGGCCGACCACAGTTTGAGTCCCAGACCTGGTGGCTTTCTTTCTCTCTCTCTCTCTGTCTCTCCCTGGTCAAATTAAAATAAATAAATAAAGTTAGATAAAATAATTCTTTAAAAAAAATTCAGTATCCCTTCATGATGAAAACACTGAAAAAAAATTAGCAATGAAAGAGAACTTCTCCAACTGATATAAAGGGCATCTATGAAAAATACCACAGCTGACATAGTGAAAGACTGAAAACTTGGGACCAGCAGTTAGCATAATGGCTATGTTTCTGGACTCCCATGTAGTCAACCGTGGTTCGAGTCCCGGACCTGGTGGCTTAAACTCACACCGGGCACGTCTTCGGCCAAGCCAACTTGCCTCTGGAAAAAAAAAAAAATTAGGTAAGAAAAAAATAGAATTAAATACAAGAAGCCAGCAATGTATGAAATGTATTTCATGACCACCAAGTGGGAATTATTCCAGGAATGCACATTTGATTTAACATAGAAAAATAAGTCAGTATAATATACCACATTAATATGATAGAGGACCAACACCATTTGATCTTTTCAGGAGATGCAGAAAAAGTTTTTGAAAAAATTCAGTATCCCTGGGGCTGGCAGGTGGCGTGGTGGTTAAGGACACTGGACTCCCACATGGCCGACCACAGTTTGAGTCCCAGACCTGGTGGCTTT